TCGCGCGATCTGGTTTATCTTGCCTTTGAAGGATTCTAATTTGAGCTTCGGAGCCCTTACACCGGGTTCTCCCCGGAGCTTCTCTTCTCCCTCCGTTTCAGGTCCCTGTTACTCAGTTCAGAGGCAAGATCATCGACAGCTAAGACCGGCCAGATTGTGCATCATCAGTAGTCTTTCAATTGAGCTATGCTAATCCGAGCAGCTCTATTTCTTGATGACGGTATCGGGCTTGAAATTGCCAATTCAGTAAAGCAGATTGGTTCGGTGAACTGGATTTCATTACAGTCAGAAATGCAGGGAAATGACCCTCAAACCATACCTGGCCAAGACTCACATTACAGGAGAGTCCTGTAAAATCTACCTGCACGAGATCAATGCTTTACTTCTCCATCTAAGCTCGAACATCACTATTTGTGGCTTGAGTACCTCCATGGGATCTTGGGTTCCAAAACCCTCCAACGAGGACTCGTTCTAGTATGGGTCGTCAGTGGTTGATGGGATTTCTTGACTGTTAAGCCGGACTCTCCCATTATGGGTCGTCACAACGAGGTTTCCAATCGATATGAAATCGAGATTTTTTTGCTCTTATGATTTTCAGCTGGCAGTTCAGCCAAGAAAGATTTTGAGGGGCAACCATGGGGTTGAGAGAGAGAGAGAGAGCACTGGTGAAATAGAGCAGTGCTCTATTACTGTTGTTGCCAGATTTGTACCATTAGATGGTTGTTAGGCTGTTCTTGGTTGCAATACAAATAAATGTGAACTGATGCAAAATCATGGCAATGCAAATGATTTGAGTGTAAATTCTGACCTATTTATTTCAAATTTTACCTTATTTTGTTTGATTGCAGTACCAAATGAAGTAAATTTAGACGTGAAGCATAATAAAGTAAAATCCAAAACAAAATTAATCAAGAATTTGCATTTTTTACATTAGCACTCTCATGTATTTGTATTAGTGCAAATAAATTTGCACTGCAAACAAACACAATCTGAGAAAATTAGATGACATTTGAAAGGCACATGTGTCTTTTCAAATACCACTTAATGACTGATTAAGAGCAGGTACTGAATTGGCACATTTTGAAAGTTCGATTACTGAATTACCATGTTTTAAAATTCGGAGACCAAACTGACACTAGACCCAAAGTACAAGTATTAATCGGGAATTTTTCCTAAGGCTGCATTTGGAAACGATGCAAATGGAGTGTAAATCCCAGTCTAGGTAAATTTACACTCGGTTCACTTTTGTCTATGTTTGGCAACATTATATTTATGCATTGACAAATGACAGACCAATACATATTTACATTGATAGCAAGATGTAAAAGTATATCAATTAAAAAGAAGTAAATTTGCATTCAAGTGAGCTTTGGACAAAGAAAAAAGCATATGCTTTATTGGAATTCATGTTTGCATACATTACAGCTAAAAGTCTGTTTGGTAAGAAAGTAAATTTGTCAATGTAAAACTAACTCAATTTTACAATTTATAGAAACCATTTTACACACTACATATTTGCATTCACACTTATTTGTATCATTTCCAAACACAGCGTATAAAAAATAGATGCAAAAATGAATCGGGTTGGACTGGTTTTAGGTCTGAACGAAAAAATAAATATGAAGAACCTGTTCTCGAATCAGATCCTAAAAGGTTTTTGTTGAGAATTGACCTGACTATTGACCCAATAAGACTCGATTAGGGGAACTTTTGTAATATGTAGTTAATTCGGGTCTTAATCGGTTCGAAACAACCAAAATCTATCCCGACCCATGGCAATCGGAACATGGTAATTGCCTTTCATTATAGGAAATGACGAATAAAGCCCCATTACACCTTGACCACCACGTGCGTTAAGCATGAATATGGTAATTGGCAAGATCAATTGCGACATAACAAATTACAGATTCTAGAAATATCTAGATGAATGCGTCAATTGCGTTCATATCGTAATTTCCCACAATTATCAGGGTCATTTTCGTACTAAAATCAAGAAAATCCTAACGAATTCTACTGCTCCTCTCACTCCTTCAAACTGCTCGTCACTGCGGCTATTTGGTTATATATACCCCTCATCAGTCTCATTTCTTCCGCACTCTGATACAACCGATCACCCCTCAGTACTGCGTTCTTCTTTCTTCTCTGCAAGAAACCCTAATCGATCGATCCCCATCTCTCTCCCTCGTTCTCGCTTTTCTCAGTCATGGATACTCGCCTGCAACTCACCGTTCTCCTCCTCTCGGTGCTCGCTTCGTTCTCATTCTCCAGAACGAGCTTCGCTGCAGGGGAAGAAACTCCGTCGCTGCCGTTATCATCACCACCTTCGTCACCTTTACTGTCTCAAGAAATTCAAGAATCTTTCACGCTGACGACCTTGCTCGAGCCGATCTTGGCGAACCTGGGGTTCCACGAGCTGGCCATGGCAGTTCCTTCTCTGTCCGACTCTGCTTTCACGACCTGGAACGGACCGTCGACGCTATTCGCTCCGACGGACGCGTCGATCCGAAGTTGTGGATCATGCTCCGTTCCTCGTCTCCTTCGCGAGCATATCGTGCCAGGGATTTTCTCTCTCGACTACATGCGCAAGCTAGCTTTCGGAACCAAGATCGAGACCATGAGCTCCGGTCGCTGCATCACGGTGACCTCCGCCGATAACAATTCAAAGATCTTCGTCGGAGGCGTAGAGATTACACAGCCGGATATCTTCAACAATGGTATAATCGTTGTTCACGGCCTTAATGGCTTCGTTGCTCCCCTCTCGCCTTTCTCCTGCAACGTCGAGAGGATGACCTCACTGTCGTTTCCACCCCAGCCTTCTGCGCCCGAACGAACTCAATATTTCACACAGTCTCCTGTGATGCGCCTTATGTTAAGGGACGCCATGCTCCGCCTGCGCAACAATGGCTTCAGCGTCCTCTCTCTTGCTATGAGAGTGAAATACGCCGAGCTCGTAAACCTCCAGAACATGACGATCTTCACTCTGGACGACATGTCTATCTTCTCTGGTGGTCACGCGTACGTCAGCAATGTGAGGTTCCACATCGTCCCCAATCGATACTTGATGAACGTCGACCTTTCTAAGCTTCCGGCAGGAACGCTGTTGCCTTCGCTGGAGCACGGTCAGAATTTGGTGGTTACAACTGCCGGAGGAGGACCATCTCCAATGAGGATCAACTACGTTCGGATCAAGATCCCCGACGTGATGCACAACCTCAAAATCGTTGTCCACAGCGTGTACTTGCCATTCCCACATCTTCATCCGACTGCAGCATTCAATGGTATCGGAGGAGCATGGGACTCGACAGCAGTGATTGGCGACGGTGGGATGTTTCCAGCAAGAAACGTTGGTGAAAGTGTGAGAACATCTGGTTCTTGCGACGCTTTGGAGAAGGACGGTAGCTGTGCAGTTCCTCCCGTGCCGGAAATCAAAGCGACAATGGAAATTGATGATCATCATAGTCTGTGAAGCTTGATCTTCTTCCCTCTATTGCTGTTAAGGTGTTCCATCACAGAAGTGGTCTGTAGTGTCTACCGGCGGCATAGTGCACCTGTCTAGTAATATTCTTTGGTAGTAGCAATATAGATATGTTTCTTTGTTTTCTGCTACAATTCTATGGTTCAGTTGGCAACTTTGATGCATGAGAGGCTACTACTACGCTTATTTTACTCTGTTGATTCTATTGTTGATGAGTGAAAAACTGAAAATCCATTTCCCTTGCGTCCAGATTGTGTGAATACTGAATTCATTAAAATAGATCTAGCTTTGTTCTTTTGCCTCCATTTGTTTGCGATGCAATTCCATTGCATGAGTACAAATGCATTATACATCAAAGTAGAGATCAGAAGAGTGTAAATTCTGGGGCGTGGTTAGTTTTGTTTTGTATTTTTACTTCGACTTAATTTTACTTCATTTAATTTACACCAAATCAAATGGTAAAATTTGAAACAAGAAATTACATTCAAGTCATTTACATATATTCTAGAAGTGAAATTTGCATTGCATACAAATTAACCCTCCCTGTTTCTTGTTTCCTCACTTCTTGTGATATTATTTTTCTTTCCTTCTTTCGTTTCTTAAATGTCAAAATTGTTGTTGTTGAGATATGTTTGCGCTGCACTTGTTGCATTTGCATGCAATGTTTGACAGGTGACCCAATTCGCGTGGGACCATGAGTTTGGTTGTATTGTTGGTAAAGCATGTGTATGATAGGAAGATATACTCAATGAGGCCCGGAGACGGTTGAATGGTTTAAGGTGGAGCCTGGAATGGGAGAGCAGTTAGGATCTGGTAATCACAACGTTGTAAGCACGTTTAACGAGCACTGAAAATTTTTTTTGACACCTATCCCTTAAAATCCCCTCAATCCACACCCTTGAAAAAGATTAAAACCCATTCGTCAAAATACTTATCAAGCACTCCTCTAACGTACTTACTTATGTTGTGGCTGGTCCCATGGGAGAGTGGCATAGATTGAGTGAAAGGGATGGTGAAACCGTGAAAGCTGAAGACTGAAGTGGAATTGAACTGATGAGAGCAGAGTAGTTTGTCAACGAAATTAAAGATTCCGATTGCTTCACTCAACTTACTTTTTGAAGAAAAAATTAAATTTGGCTGTCTAAATTCGACAGCCTGAGACTGGGGGGACTCTCCCCGCATGGGATCTTGTGCTGGTTACAATTTCTACTTGCACTCTCCAAGTTGCATTGTTATACTGGGTCTCAATTCCGTGGTAACCGCGCCAGCATATCAGGTCACTTGATTCACACCGACTCCTTGTAAACAGTATGGGTAAGTCACGACATCCATATAGGCAGTCGAATTTAGACAATCAAAGTGGAAGAGGCCGGAGCTTACGAGTTTACTTTTGCGATATGTGCATGTAAGCTCTCTTCCAAATAAGGACTGGGCTGCTGATTATTTCACCAAACACACGCCTTGTATCGTTCCTCAACGGCGTTGTGCCGGATTTTTCCACTCAGTCAATCGAATAGGGGAAGGGTCGAAGGGATGATCATGGGTAGGCCGCGTTTTGACTGTACAGTATCAATGGTCTTTAGCTCTGCCCCGGACCTGGCCCGGCCAGCCCTATATGTTTCCAGGCATCCAGATTCCAAGACCAGATGTGTCCGTATTAATCAATAAAATTATGGTTTTCAATGATTTAAATTATAATTTAATTGTATAATCAAAACCCTTGGTCCGGGTCCTCCAAGCCTATGTTTTGCTTGGCCTAGGTCCGGCTCACGTTATGTGAGGTCTTGACGAGTCCAGCTCACCTGCCAACAAAGTAGGTTCCAACACCTTCCCAATATCATCTGACACCGCATATCTCATACATGGCGAATTTTTGAATCTCAATCTTTTCATTTGCTTTTTAAACAATATTACTCCCCTTCCCAAATTATATTAATCGATTGGACCGTTGGCTGGTTCGATGATACCCAAAACCGGATTCAATTAAAAGCAGCTAAAGCCGTATCAAAAAATTGGGTGAATCGGTCCTGGTTTTTTTTTTTTTTTTTGAAATTTTTTTAACACATAAATGTAAATTTCTAGAGTTCATAACTTTGCACATAACTTTTCGAGACCTACATATTTCAAAGGTGCTAAAAGCGCCTTATCCCACTTTTTTTTTTTTTTTTGCAAAAAAAAACAGCTGTTTGGCCTTAAATCTTAATTTTTAATATGAAAAAAATTAAGGGCTTTTGAATTAATAAACATTGGTTGTCGACCACCCATTCTCTAAACATTGGTTCTCTCTTACAAAATTGAGGGCTTTTGAATTAATAAAACTTGTCATACATCCCTAGATTCTATCGTTTGTCGACCACCCATTTTTATTCAAAATAACCCTTACCTCAATCAAAATCCTTGCATATCCATCTTCTCCTTGCTTCTATTGAATCTATTCCTATTGTCATACTTCAAAAACTTCTAACAGAGGAATCCTCACCACACTGATCAAAATAACTCCTCTTCCTCGACTTCTATTGAGAATCCGGGAACCATCTACTTTATCTCAACTCAATACTTTTTCTTGCTCACTCTCATATTCAAAAGTCCAATTGGCTGCTTCCTTGTGAAACATGAAAATGAATATAATAATCCTCCATTCAACTTGCAAATCCCAAAACCTCTTATCAAACTTGCTTCCAATAATTTCACCATCAAGGATTGGAATATCAACATAATACGTTTGATACAAGGTGTATCATATTGATATTTAAAGAGATGGGTGCATGGCATAAATGGAACAACATGATGACATTGAGGACCTATAGTAATAGCTATGACTGCAACTTAAAGCTTCTAACCGTTGACATAGGTCAATGGATTGTTATTCAATACTTTGATGGTTTTTATAGGTTGTCTCAAAATTTTGGATCACCAACACATATCCAGTTACATTGGTGGCTCAAACTTGTTAGATCTATGAATTTTTCCAAAAATTAGAAAAAATAAAATTTTATATATTATAAATGATTTTCACTGCAAGAAAGAACTATAATTCTGATTTACCAATAATCTATTAAATTCATTGTTCTAAGAATAATTTATGTCAACAATGACTTCTTTCTTGTTTTTATGGAAAAGCAAAAATTAGAAAAATAATTTATTTTATATATTCCAAATGATTTTCATGGTAAGAAAAGAATCATAAAATGGATCCATCAATGATCTATCAAATTCTTTCTTCTTTTTTTCGTCTATCAAACTCATTGATCTAACAACAATTGAATGTGTCTTGTGAGATGAATTTATATCATTTTTACATGTTCTAGACTCTTAATTTTGTTGATTCTAATCTGTCTCTGTATGTAAATTGTTATTATGTGCACTTTTGTACATTTATACATATTCATAGTTATTTCAACCTTATATTTAGTGTTATTGATGTATTTGAGAGATTTGTAAGAATTTCCCTAATACATCTAAACATATTTATATCTTTCAACTGTATCCATGCACATCCAAAGTATACATGACAGGGCCATACCCGCATCCATTTATGGGTGAAGCCCAACTTTGGGCCCTGAAGAATGCAATTCAGCTTTGTTCATTTTGTATTTTCCTTCTGTAGGCTTTAGTATCTTAAAATAATATTTCCATTTGAATGGACCTTTTCATTAGTATCTTATTTTGTAAATTTTATAAATGTGAAGTTAACCTCTTAAACTAATACATATGCACAAAAAAGTTTTTAAGGGCTCATATTAGATCCGTTGGCCATCACGTGATGCAAAGTTTCTTAATACAGGATAAGAAATGAAAAGCTATTTAACAAAAAACCAATTCACCCTCTTATTCTCATGGATAAGGCTCTTCATTATTTTCTGGAGACTAAATCTAGTTTTCAGAGTGAGAAAACTGCTAATGCTTTTAAAGCTTGGAATCCAATCGTCTGGGTCCATCAAGTTAACTTTGATGCCTCCCATAACCTAGAGGTTTGGTGTTCCACTGCCTGTATTATTGCCATGGGTCATCTTGGTACGGCTCTTACCTCAAAGACGACTGTATTGATCTCTTATCAATTTAACTGAAACTTGGGTCATTTGGGAAATTCTCTACAGCGCCATCAACTTCAAAGACTACCATGTAATCATCGAAGGAGACTCGCAACTTGTATCAATTGCTTGAAGAAGATCGGAATAGACTGAAGAATATTATTGAGAAATGCCCTTGTGTTTATTCTTGTTTGAATGCAGGTATCATCTTTTGCCATGCATTTCGTTAATCTAATCAAGCTGCTGATTGGCTGACTTGTAATGCTCTTTTTGGAGGTGAGTATGGATTGTATGCCTTGGTCTTAAATTTTATCTGATTTTGTGATTTTTGAGGACGTGCTAACCCCCTTGTGTAGCCCCTTCTTCCAATTAGGGGTGTCAATTGGACTTGGTCCAATCCGATTCAGTCCAATGCGAGTCCATTATAAATGGACCAGGTCCAATCTAATCCAATGATTGTTTTGGAACAATTTGGACCAGTCCAATTCAATGTGTGGACCATTCAATCTGTTCAATTTCATTTTGATTTAGATTGGTTTTAACCCAAAACCCAGTCCATTGACACATATATTCTTATCTTATATCGATGAACCAAATATTTGCTTAATCCAACCCAATCCAATATAAATTTTTTAAGGACAGACCAGATCAAATCCAATCTAATAAATATTTTGGATAAATATTTTGGACTGGATTGGTCCAATCTAATATGTCTTGTTGGTCTGTCCAGTCCATCCAAATTGATTTTGGACTGGATGGGGTCCAATCCAAAACTGGTCCATTGATACCCTTACTTCCGAGTTCCGATCTATCAAAAAAAGAAAAAATTCAAAAGTGCACAACAACTCGACTCCCATGAAATTTCCAAATTCAGTCAACTTCTTACAAAAGAATCACACATCCACTAGTAAGTTTCTTCTGGCACATCTGTAGCATGTTGATCAACGCTCAATACCCAGCTTTTGACAGCAAATATGGCTTGATTAATCATGATCTTTTGCTAAGACCATGAAAGAACCGGTGCTTTCTCCTCCGGGAGTGTCTCCTAGACACCCGTGACATAACAAAGGGAACATAGTGGACCTACACAAATGTGAAGATAAAATCAAATATGGTAGACAGGCCTGAAAATAGATGGACACAAAACCACAAACACCGAAACTCGGAAGAGCTACCTGAGAGTTATTACGGATACCATAAACCTGAAGCAGGGCGTTATCATCAATGAGCTTCTCATTATGGTAGGAGAGACAAAAATTTGCCCACACATGCCTCCTGCAAAGCAAAAAGTGCATTTTTATTTTAATAGCTATATAAGATCCTAAGTACATCTGCAATGAATGTAAAATACAGATTGTTTAAAATAAAAAGAAAAAGTTTTATCCATTAATTCGTTCAACTTTGATAAAGTTATAGTATCATCCTTCTAAATGCTACATATTTTGAGAGTCGAACTTGCAACGTGACTGTACACATTCACATCATATATTGCCTAGCATAAGTTACTGCCTTTATTTCTATGAATCCAACCCCACCCTCCCAAAAAAAAAAATAATAATAATAACATCTGTGTAAGACCAAGAAAAGGGAAGGAAGACTCTCTGCATATGGTGGATCACATGACCATTGGAACAACAGATGTTGGCAAAGATGCCACAGTTAAAATTATAGATTCAAAATGTAATGTTGTGATTGCTATGGCACCATCAGTGGGCCGAAGTGAAGAATCCATCCTTGTGAGCCACTTCTTAATCTGCCTCAAACATCTTACCATGTTTGAGAAACATATGGAAACTAATGAAGGATCAACTATTATTGATCAAAGTATGAAATTTAACAACTGTAAGTCCACAATAATTTTAGTTATAGCAATGCACCAAGAAACAGCAATGCATATATGGTAGAGCAAATTTAGCACTAAAAGCTCAAGGACATATTCTTAGGCTGCATTTGGAATTTCTTATTTTAAGGACTTATCTCCTTTTTTCTGCTAAAACATAAAATGCCACTATGAACACTAAGTTTTTAACTACAAACAGGAGAAAAGTCCTTAAAGTAAGGAATGCCAAATGCAGCCTTAATGTGATCAAGGGAAGTTGACCAGATATAGTACCATGAAATGTGGCGATGTCCCATATGCGATTGCTCCATGTCATTTGTTTTTCTTTTGATAGCTGACTTCAGATCCTTAACAGTAGCAGAATTCATAACGGCAACATCTTCATTAAAAAAGACCAATTAGTGAATCAACCAAACCCAAGAAAGCAAATACATTCTTTTAGGCTCAATTACTTTGGTCAGATCACCAAACTTAACAGAATTATCTCAAGAAAATTAAGGCATCCAAGAAAGAGATGTGAACCAATATGGGTTACACCCTTTCTGAAAAGTGAATGAAAGAAATGAAAGTTATGAATCATGAAATTCAGTGTTCAATGATTTGGAAGTTGGAACAAGTTTCATAGCAATCTGATGGAGAAAAGCAAGGAGCTAATACCAAAGGTGGTACCGTCCATTTTAAGGACAGAGATTCTCATAGCGCTACCCAATTCCAAACTGATAAGCGTGTCCACATCAGTGAGAGTGGGTTTCTTCGGGATGTCAGCAAGTATGGGATCGTCTAGCAGAGCTGAAAGCGTTGACTGTAACCTTGCCTTCTTTATGCTGCTGTGGCTGTACCCTATTCCTACCTCCTCGACCTTCTTGTTGGACTCCATCTTCTCTACTAAATCATGATGGCTTCCTGACTTGCTCAATATTTCATTTACTAATATACCTGTCCAACAGACAAGGAAGAATTGAAATTTAATAGAATTAAAGACTACAGAAAAACATTGGTGGAAAAAAGTCAACTAAATGAGGAAGAATAAATACTAAGGAAATAAAATAGAATGTCTAAAATCCAAATATGAAAACAATATAAGAAGCTCAGATTCCTATAGAAACTGGAAATGGAAGGAAAAATACTAGTCATGTATAAAAATTATGGGCAAATCCTCTTAAAAATGATAAACATCACATCTTGAAATTCAATATATTTAACACTAGTTTCCTGAAAAATACAGTTGCATAGTTTATTGCAAGGCGTACTCATATAAGTTGGGTTCACACTAGAAAGATGCAAATATTGTGTATTTCAATAAGATTGTCAAGGTTTTCCATAACATACCAAGGGCCAAAGTATCTAAGAAATAATGCAATTGACGAAGAGCATGGCCACATAAGAATTAAAAAAAGAAAAGATTAATTTATAAATGCCACAAAGAAGCAAATCTTCCACAAACCAAATATCTGAATTTGGCTTACATGATTTACCTAAACTTTGACATATTATATTCCACATAAAAACAAAACCTGCAAAACTTTATTGCCACAATACATAAATGCCAACATGCCAGAAGGGAAAGGAACTAAGAAAAAATTCAATAGAAAATAATGTTATAAAGGTCAAGTTGACTTGTTAAATTCACTTACAGAAACCTAAATGTCTCAAGGTGCAAATAAACAGCAACTGCTCCTTTTTGCAATTTTATTATGAGATCCACTTTTCCTGTAATGTTCACAATTACATTTCTTTTCAATTGTAACTTTTGTATTTTAGACAAAATAGTTAAATAACATACTATGCTTTTCATCTTGCTACTGCTTTTGTAATGTCTGGCAGGATTGGGGGAGCTTCTTCTTCTTCTTCTTCTTCAATTGCCTCTGATTTTGACATCCACCCTATTATTCCTCTTCTTCTTTCCTGTTTTTTTTACATAAAACAGGGTCTCTTCCTTCCCCTTTGTTTTTTGACACCAAAATAGGAGCTCCACCTCATTCTTCTTCACTGACTCTCTTCTATTTTGGAAGACTGAACACTGCTGTGAAGTCTAACGGCACAAAACCAGCTGCTACAGTTGTGTTTTGGCTGCTCAATGCTAACTGCTAAGTACTACATTCTTCTCTGAATCAATGTTATTTGAAAGAACTAAAAAAGGATTTACAAGTGGATAATTCTTGATGTTGGATTATAATAGATGCTTGCATTGTTAATTACTTAATTTTTTAGTGCTTTCACTGGTTTCTTGTATTGTATTGGAAGGAAACAAGGAAGACCTTTTTTACTTGAAAGTTGCAAAATGCAATTTTAGTATTTTAGTGTGAATTATTATTACTTTGACATTTGAAATTAAGTTTTATTTATACTATCATGATTGCAATATCTGTTTTTATTTGAATAGGATGTTTTATTATTAGAAATTCTAACTATAATTGCAGAAAATTATATGCTTGAGACTTTGGCTTGGGAGGCTTACACCTCGTGCTCGGGAGGCTTATGCCTCCATTCTAACCTATGCGGCACACTCTTGTGTTTTAAAAAACTGGTTTATATTCCCCCCCTCCCAATTCTTTCTTCACCCTACATTAAACTTTGTCTTTACACCTAAACCTAGCTAATGAGTCTGCCATGTTGTTTGCATTTCTTGGACTTTCACCTGAATGAGCACTTGAGCAGTTCAAGTTGGAAGCCAAAACCCTGTCATGTCAAAGGAATTGTCTGCAGTCTGCCCACCACTTGGCAATCGCCTTCTGCTTGCATACCTGTCCAGCCCATTGGTCTAGAGAAGGTTAGAATAATATCTCCCCCTATCATCTTTGATCACCCCCTCCCATACCTGAAGCTCTTGGATTACCTGAACAGCACTTGTCAAAAATATGTTTTACCTTGTTCAGGAGTGCTCCGCACAGCATTGACCTGTTGTTTTCTTATTGTTTACCACTAACCAGACACTACCTACCATGCACCTTACCAAGCCATCCATAAAAGTGCTCTTGAATTCCTTGTTCGACAAAACCCAATGGCATATTGGCTGACCTTGTGCAGTGCTACATGGTTCTTTGCTTTCTTGTCTTAAGTGGGAGGTGGAACCCAAGAACCTCCGGAAAGGTGGAGAAAGTGGTTCCATTTATCAGAAGGGCCAACAATGTCCCTTATGAATCACTTTGCTTTATTTGCAACATTTGTAACATTAATGTTGAAATATGAGCTTTTATTTGTCCCATAGGCCATATTTAGTTTCTTCATATTTTAAGCTTGTTTTTATAGCTTTTTTTCCATAATGCTACACATGCATCATATGTATCAGACTTGACTAGTACTGTAGAAAAATTTTAAAATTATAGGAGGAAAAGTGACTTGAAGTCATTCTTGTGACATCCCTTTCACAGAACTGATAAGCATTGTGGAATAGAGATTGGCTAGGTTCTTCGGGCAGTACTGCTACTTGTGGTTTGGGGCCCTCAAAAGATTAAGCTAAACTGAATAAGGGTTAAGCAGGTCTGTGGATTTTATGTAGGAATTAGCATATATGATATTCATAAACCATTGTTTTAAGCTAAACTGAATAAGGGTTAAACAGGTCTGTGGATTTTATGTAGGAATTAGCATATATGATATTCATAAAACATTGTTTTTCCATGATAATTTTGGAATTTTGGTTTATCTTTTTTATAACTTTTTTTTTCATTTCTGCTATTGAATGCAAACTTGATGTTTCTTTTAATATCTTAAATGTGTGGAGCTTAATGCAGTCTTTTCCTACTCTTTTCAGAAGTATGTTCAAAATAGTTAATAAATGCTAATTTGTTTTCTTTTTAATATTTTTCTGTGCATAGTTTTCTTAGAAGCATCTATTGTTATGGATCTTGTATATAGTGGTTACATACTGGACTTTCAATTCAGTGACCTTGATTCAATCCCCAGTAGGACCTTTTGCCTCCCCCCAATAGAAAATAGATTTTTATGTAAGCCATTAACAAATTCACAATTTCCATTTCTCTTTTGTATGAAGTTCCAATATCATTATTGTAGTCCAAGATAAAAAGAGTGAAACTTACCTCCAGTAAATGAATTTGTCGGAACGACTGTCGATGTCAACTAGTGGAATTCGAAGGGGCTCCCACTCCGACGGATTTTAGATCTGAGAACGGTAGAAAATGAGGAAAAAAAAAACAAGGTAGAAAATGAGAAAAATTTACGGAAGGTCAAGGGATACTTACCCCCTGCTGGAATGGTCATCGGCGTCGACCGGCGGAACTCGAAGGGGGCAATCTCCGGCGGGTTATGGAAGGTGGAGGTTTCAGGTCTGAAATTGGAGAGAGAGGACACGAAGCCAGAATTAGGGGATGATGCCCTTTTGGGCGAGAGGAAGCTAACGGGACGGGGTGGAACTAACGGGACGAGTCTCTTTAATTCGCGTGTGGGCGGACACGCGGCGCGCTCACAACGCGTGGGATGTATTTGAGGGGCAACTCTGTGGGGACGGATGCAAATCCATTTTTTTCAGCAATCGTCATGGATTAGGTTACAAACTCGATTTGTGAAAAGAAATAGGACTGCTGTATCTTATGGAGACATACCTTCTTACTAGGTCTGATTAATTAGCTTATCAGAGAAGTAAGTTCGCTTGAGATCATGTCATAGGTTGGCTAAACAAGCATACTAAATTGAATATACTATTTTGCTGCTGAGTTAGGGCATTCTTTTTTGCTTGCTCAATTATTATTTCTTTTAGTTGATAGGTGGAGCTGGTTAGCTGTCTTCATTCTCCTTATTTGTTGGCTGCATGCTTTTTAAAAACGAACCGGAAACAGAACGGTTCCGGTTGTTGGCTGAATGGTTCGACCCATGATGTCATAAATAAATTAAAAATAAAAAATATCTATAAATAATAAAAAATAGCATAAAATTAAATAAAAAACAAAAAAATATAGAAAATAAAAAATAATACAGTACAAAATACATAAAAAATATAAAAATAAAATACAAAAAAAATCTAAAAAATACAGAAAAAAAAACACAAAAAAAATCAGAAAAAAAATAAAACAAAAAATTGCAAAAAATACAGAAAAAAAAATCTGGAATGTTAAGTCCTAAAATGCAAAAATCCTTGACCTAAAATCAAAATTGATAAAAAAAATTACACTAATTTTTACCTAGAAGTCCTGCAAACTCGCTTGGGAAGTGCTGCAAATTGCAAAAAACGTTAGTCGTTGCCGGTTGCCGTTAAACGAGGTCGGTCGGTGTGTATTGCCGTCGAAAGCCGGAGATGTTGGCCGCTGCAGGTGGTCGGTTCGGTGTGAGGGATGGCCGCCGCTACAAACTCGCCTGCCGCAAAGCCTAGAAGTGATGCAAATCGCAAAAAACGCTGGCTGCTGCTGCAAATTCACCGTCGCCGGTTACCGTTAGTCACGGTCAGTCAGTGTGTATCGCCGTTGAACGTCGGAGTTGCTGGCCACCGCAGGTGGTCGGTTGGATGTGAGGGATGACCGCCGCTGCAAAATCGCCTGCCGCAAAGCCTGGAAGTGCTGCAAATTGCAAAAAACATTGGCCGCCGCTATAAATTCGCCGTCGACGATCGCCATTAATCACCGTCGGTTAGTGTATATCGCCGTCAAACGCCGGAGGTACTGGCCGCCGTAGATGGTCGGTTGGGTGTGAGGGCTGATAGGAGGGAAGAACGAAAGGGTTAGAACGAAAATGGGATTTTAATTAATTGATTTGGGATGGGAAAATTAAAGTAATTTTATTTTTTGTTTTTTTATTTTATTTAAAACATTGAAAATAAAAAAGAGAATCCGCGAACCTCTATCTGAGTCAAATGATTTAGCAGTCCAATCACCCGAGTTAGCGGTTTTTTAACTTTTTCAACGTTTCTTAAAGATTTCCGAATTTTAGTATAATCGGACCCGGGGGCCTGACCAGTTATCGGTTTTTCTGGTCCAATCATCCGACCCGGTCCGGTTTTGAAAACCATGATTGACTGTGCTTGACTACTTTTCGGATAATGACTATAAATAATTACTGGTTTATGAATTCCTGGTGACTGGGATGCCACCAACAGATGGACTGAAGCAACAACTGATAGAGGTGAATTGAATGGAATATCTAGTGGGGAGTGATGAGTTTGTTTTTATCAAATATGGATAATCCACCTCTTTGTTTTGCATTATCTGAATACAGAAGTAGTATTCCAGCAGAAAGAAACTTTAGTTTCTATATTTCTAAAAATTCTCTACTTTTAAATGCAGTCTACTGATGAATGTGACGTGTGCAAAGGAGACACTGGCATCATTTGTTTCATTTTCTTTTCTTCTATTAAAGATTGTGTCACACCTTCTACCAGAAGTTGGGTTTTGAGATATTGAAATATAATTAATTGGTATTAGCATTTCAGATTTTTTATCAAGGTGATTGTAGCAGTTAATGAAATTTTCAAGGGATTCCCCCTCCTAATTAAACAACTTCTAGTTATTGCCTAATTAAACAAGTTCTAGTTATCTTATTTGCTTACAATTTTTTTGATAAATGAGAAATTTTATTAGGGAATATGGATAATAACAGATAACATTTACAAAAGACCCATGGAGAAGCACGTGCTGCGACCTCTCCAACCAATCGAAAACTAAAATAGATTGCAACTGTTCCCTAACTGCCCATTGCTTGGCTAAACAATCAGCCATAGCATTAGCACATCTCCCCACCCATTGTATTCTGACATACAAATTTATTATCAGCCACTTGAATTTTTTAAGTTCATTCTTAAAGCACCAAACCACAGTCTCTGGGTTCTATAGCCCCTCCACAATCACCTTGGAATCACCTGTTCCACTCGAATAAATTTATTTGATGATAATTCTTCTATAAAGAGATATCCAGGAGCTGCATTAATGTGAACGCATTGTTTATCTATAGAGAGATATCCAGGAGTTCTGATATTTTGCAATTCATATCTTGGGTAGCACTTCTTCATTCATCTTCTCAAGGACCCATCCTTGTTTTGGAATTGGAGTTTGGGTTTTTCTTTCATTTGGAAGTTTTGCTTGTTTGAGTCTTCTCTGTTGGAAGTTTTTTCTTTAGTTCTTGGCATTTTAGACTTCTCATGGCCAATTGCAGAGATCTCTTGAGGTGTCTCTCCCGGTGCTCAGTTACATTCCTTCTTATTGTTTTGTTTTATCATGCTGTTTGTTTCTTGGATTGTATGTGAGCATTAATGAAACAATTTTGACTCTTTAGGCATAAAAAACAAAGTCCTTATCCTCTGAAATCAGGATAGTATTTGGAAATTTCCATCTGGTGGAGACTACTAACCAAAATAGATCTACTAGGCCCACGGCAAGGCCATCCAAGAAATGGATGATCACGAAAGGTTCAAAACCACACCCATTGAATGGACACAAAATTTTTGGGCATTTTGTAGAGGCATACAATTCAAGCATCAGAAATATTACAACAAAATTCTCTTATTCAATACCATTACATTTCCTCAAAATTCCTACATTGTCCTTTGAAGATATAACCAGACAGCTTGTAGGCTTGTGATACTCAATACGGGTAATATGGCGATACATCACTACAGATCCTCTTCAGATGTCCTGAGGGCCATTAATCACCTGGATGTTGCAATAAAACCGTTAACACAAAATTGTCCCAAAGACTGCTGTTAAGCAAAGAAACCTAGAAAAGGAAAAGGGAAATAATTTGGGGTTTCAAATTTCTACCTTGTTCTCAAGTACAACCCCATCAGGAATTTCCAATTTCTCGCCAGGTTTTGCATCAATAGTCACATTGCCCTTCAAGCATATTCCATCAATTGTAAGATGAAAGAATAAAAGATTTAAAGGGATAACTTCAAGTTTAGTAGTAGTGAAATATATGCACTAAATAAACAAATTGTCACTTGTCAGAATTAAAATTTCCTCCATTGAATTGAAAGTGTTCTTATAGTTAGATAGGGAGCAACTTCATCTCTTCCAGTCTATGCCATAGGCATGACTGCCAAATCGCAAGTAAACAATTTGAATGGCACCCAAGGATTAAAATATCAGATCGGATCCATCTACATCCACCATCTGATATATATGTATTAATGTGTTTATTTACATGTGTTGTGTGCTTTTTTTTTTACTCCATGGGGCTACACAACTGGGGGGGGGGGGGTTAGCCCATCCCCCAACCTTGGTGCAGATTGTTCCCAAGTCTCCACAACAACCAGTTGGCACCTTTTGCATATGTGCAATAAGTATTAACCATACATGATACATGGTATTTGGATTTAACTTTTTTTATGACATACATGGAACCCAAGGCAAATACCCGCTTTATATATATAAAGTAGAGGCCATTGCTGATGGCAGTGGAGAAGAAATAGAGGTCACTGCTACCGTGAAGAAGAAGGAGAACAAACATACCTTTGCTGCTTTCTACTTGTCAGTTGGCCACTAGAAGCAATGAAATCACAGACCTCTGGTAAGTCATCTCCTTTTCTCTTTCTCCCCATTGATCCCTATCTAGGGTTTGGTATTTGATAGAAAACATAAAGGACATACCAATCTAACGGTTTAGAGTTTCTAATAAAGAAATCAAAGTTCAAACCACAACTGGATAGTTGAACTGCTGAACTGCCACCTAGGGCTAAAAACAGGTCATTCTCCAGGTCAGGTTTTCAAACACTGTTCTCTCTCTTTTTCATCCAAAGATGTACAAGTATTACAAAAGCAAACATTATAAGGTAAGTCAACTCATTACAAGATGAACACTGATTAACCCCCAACCTTGCTGATCCATCAGCTATTGCATTCAAATCCTGGAAGTCCATCTTGAAACATGTCTATTTGTACCAATGTCAGATATGAAACTTACTGGATACAAGACTAGATACTACATGGACACTTCTAGATGTCCTCTATTGCATTAACACTTTTAAAATATGTAATATGATGTCCTAACAAATTATGATATAAAAAAATTAAATTTGTCAGAATTGGGTACAAATTTTGCACCCAGTTCAGTTTTGCATCCATTTGTTTATAAATGTGATTTGCACTGCCACCTGATACAAAATTTGTACTTTTTGTTTCATTTACATTTACTAGCAGTTGAAATTTTCAACCCAAAAGCTGATGCAAAATTTACATTACCTTCCTCTTAAATCAATTCTTTCTCATTTAACATGGGAACTGCATTCTCTTGCTTCTTACCTCACTCTCAAACAAATAAGCATCCTTCTTTCATGCTATTTCATATAATGTGGGACCAAATCATTTTATTTCTCATAAACAAATAAGATAAAATTAAATCTGAAGCAAAAGTAAACTAGAAACTACACTCAATCTATTTGCACTTACACTAGTACAAATGAAATTCACACTAAACAAACTGAGCCTTATCTTCAAAAACAAGGATGTAAAAGCATGATATAAATCATATTACATGAGACATCCATACCCATAATCACGTCTATGATTTTAGCAAATCAAGAGTTTTATCCTTGTGTCCCATATTTGTATCCATGTCCATATCTGTATCTGAGTGTCATAGATTTTTGCACCATCGAATGCCAATTTTAGAGTCACCTTTGATCTGGGTCAGTTGGGGATTCCTTGCAATGGATCCCCCTGTAACAACTCCACCATTCCCAAATCCAAGATAAGGACAATAAACACAAAATGAATTGCCTCAATTCTCAAAGATTTTCATGCCTTAGTTGCCAAATTCAAAATCATCTGATGATCAGATGATCCTCATTTAATAAATGCCTCGAGGAAACTTTTCTTCACTCTCCCTCATCCATTCCTTAACCACCTTTACCGTGGTATTTTTCATCCCTTTTAAGTTTTAACAATTTGTGCCTACCCTTCCTGGTAGACTCCAAACAAACAAGAATCACCAAAATACCTAATAAATCTATGTTGTGGTGAAGAATTGTACATACTAACAGAAAAATAAACAAAAGATGTCATAGTTCATTGTAACAGAGCAGATCCCAGATGTAACAACCACATCATAAAAAGATTCATCAGTAAAGCAGAAAGCATTATTCAATACCTTGAGGGTTATATTGGCACCAAACCATACATCGCCAGTCACCTTCAAGCTATCAAGCTCAATGATGCTAGGGATGGACTTGAAGCGACTTAGGAAGTTTCCAACCTGAATGATAAAATAAAATAAATCATAGTTGTTCAAAGATGCAATCCATCAGATGGAAGACAATCCTTTAATACAATACCTTTTTAAACTCAGGCCCGAGTTCAATAGAGGGATTCGCAGGAATGCTTCTAGCATTGTTTCGGATAACAAAGCCATCAACTACTGTGTAAAGATCAGACTGTAAAAATGCATCTATGTTTTAGATTACCTAATGTCAAGGTCTTTAGAAGATAAATGACATCAAGTGTTTTAGTTTAACCTGAACAAGAAGCAAATCAGATGTTGCCTTCACTGGAAGGAACCGAGATCGCGGAACATTAATGCCAATGGCATGATCAAAGAACTGTTCCAGATAATAAGGGATTCAAAAGAAAATTCATAGATCTAAGAATACACAAACATTAGGTAACTGCAGATGTTATATTTGGAGAATACCCTAATTGCCGCACCAGCTGCTGTTTCCAACTGAAGAACTTTGACCCCATCCACTTCCTGGAAACATCATGAGTAACTTGCTAGTTGAAATTGCAATAACAAATATTAGCAAGTGTTTCATCAACTGGAAAGAAAAAGGTCCGACCTTAGGGTTTGGGATGATCTCCATTTTTAGTGCATCAGCTTCTACAAGCCTTTTAATGGCATTCAAATTCAACCACCTATGGAGAATAGGAATTAGTAATTTAATACATCTGCATTATCATGGACTGAATCACACTAGAAAAAGAAAATTTTCTTCTCACATGCATTTGCATATTCGAAGAAGAATCTCAATTCACTTACAAATTGTTTGTATTGAAGATCTTGAACTTTTCAATTGACTTGAATTCATTTACCTAAATAAATGACATGAAAGTCATACATCTTCCATCCTATATGATATCTCTCAAAAAAAAAAAAAACAAAAACAAAAGAAGTAATAAATGTAAAAGATCTGGAAAAAGTATCAATTGATGCTCACTACATTGAGAATGAGAAAATAAAAGTGAACAAGTTGTAGCTTACGTGTTCATCAGGAACCTGTGCAATTTCCAAGAGCTGCATCCAATAATAGCAAGGAAAATGTCAACAAATTTTGAGGCATGCTGAGTATAAGGGACAAGAAAACTATTTCACAAAGTTGTGACATTGAGAGCATTTTAGGCTACAATATTCAACAAATTCTTTTGATGGTAAGGTAAAAAATCATGTCAAGATGAAGCAACAAAATAACTCTGGCAAGCTATGGAACATTTTAATAAGAAAAATGCATGTAACCATAGATTGCATGTATGTTTAGTCCCTTCTTAGATCACATGTAACCATTAGGCGTTGATGTGTTGCTCCATTGCGACCCGGGTGACCAGGGTTCAAATCTTGGAAACAGCTTCTCTGTATGTGCAGAGGTAAGGCTGCATACATCTGTCCCTCCCTAGACCCTGCATTGGCAAGAGCCTTGTGCACTGCACTGCCTTTTTTTTTACATGTAATCATGGATTCTGTTTGGTTTTTAGAATGACAAAAATCATTGCACCTATATTTTGGAAATCTCAAAAGAAAAGGACAAATAGGAGAAAGCAACAAAAGATCGGAGATACACCTTGGACTGTTAAGACAAAATAGCTAGGGAACATTACATAAGAACTGAAACATGATGAAAATTCATTTGAAGCAATGCCAGGGGTAAGTTAAAAAGGCTAAAGTTTGGTATGGTTGGAATATAATGAGAATTATATTATTAGTTTCAATAGTTTCTTCATTAGTGTTCCATTTTTCAATTGATGGTCAAACACCTAAATTTTCGGCATGTTCTTCTACCATGCTTCTGGAGGAGCAAAATAAGAAAGAGATTTGATCATGAATGTTACTGACTTTTAAGTACTACTACTACACACCTGAACCTTTCCTTCGTATGAAATTAGGGTACCACCCTTTACATCTGCCAAAGTTTTAGGTGTCACCTACACAAACACAAAGATTTTATAACAATATCTGAATCTCTAAAGGCATTGTGGATTAACTTTCATCATTGAGTACCTCCATACAGTATTCATTCTTGTTCTGGATCAAATGATTTAATATTTCTATAAAATCCAATTAAGGCCACACATCCCAAATTCTTCATGATATACCAAATATTGTGATTAATAAAACAATAATGAATACTAGAAAGCAGTAGATACACTAATAAATAAGTAAAAATAGTAGATTTAAAGAGGCAATAAAGGATACTTAAGTCAACAACAGCACCCAAGTTATCCGAGTTGGCAACAAAGGCATACTCCTTACCCTGGATAACAAGCATTAAATTTTTTTGTCAATATGACAAGAATGAACCAAAAAAATAAAATAAAATGAATAATATTTGAAAGAAAACAATAAAACTATTGTTTAGAACATATTAAAGGTGGTGATTTAGGTTCCTATTAATGCTGGTATAGGGGGTAACATTACCATGTTAAAGACAAAATGTTCCCATTGAATTGACAAGGAGAACCATCTGATAAGTTTACTTCTTTAAACAGTCAACAACCAAGGGTAATTCCAGTGTTCCTAATATGGAACACCACATCTATTGCATATTCATAAAAGAAGGTGCCAACACCATTCAAATATATTAGAAATACCCATGAAGAAATAACAACTTGGCATTCTTACCCGTGATAGCAATGCATCCAGCTTGCCGCTGTTCAACAAGGATGGGAAAACATCACCATGACCAGGAGGATACCTTCACATTTTATATGGTTGAATGAGATAAACAAGGATAAAAATAAATTGTGTTTAGAATTAATCAATTACTTAAAATATATTTAGATGGTAAGAAAATGTGGTATTCAGGTTAATTAATTAATATCTACCAGGGTTATTATGTACATCCCACTGAATATGAAGATGAAAAGTGAATAAACTAGAAACCTAAATACATGAATAAGGGGGAAATATAAGTAGTAAATCCATGGTATTGCAAGAGGGATGTCAGGATACTAAAAGGAATAACATAGCATACCATCCATCCTTGCTAGTCTGTCCCTTGCATGGCAGTGGCACAAAGTCTTCGACAACCAATCGAGGGTATTGGCTCTAAAGAAAATAGATCAATTATCAGCTCCTTAGGCTCAGTTTGGAAAGAGCACAATTACACATATGTACAGTATAAATACATACAAAATACAAATATGTACTCCTAAACTGAGCCTTGGAAAGAGTATGAATACAAATATGTGCAGTGCAAATACAGGTTTAGAAATACAAAATACAAGGCTTTGTACTACACATTTGTATTTATACTCTTTCCAAATTGAGCCTTAGGCTCAGTTGAGCCTTAGGCTCAGTTGAGCCTTAGGTTCAGTTTGGAAAAGATACAAATGCAAATATGTACCATGCAAATACATAAGTTATGTTTCCACAAATATAATAAAAAATAAAAAATCAAGACGTAGGTATATATTTAAACAATTGAACATTCATTAGACTTTCAGACCTGGTTAAAAGTATGAATCTCAATGTTTGATGCTGAGTATTTCTCCACGATCTACATTAGACAAGTTTAACTTATCAGCCAAACACAGCCATAGGGAAACCACAAATCAGAAAAGCAAAAATATGACTTACCTTTAAGGTATCTTCATGTGTGTTGAATGAATTCATTAGAAGCAAGGGAACACTGCATCCGTACTTGGAGTTGAGAGACTAAAATAAATGAAAAGGATAGATTAAGCTTAAAACAACATTACTGGTTAGGTTAAGGTATAAAGCATACAATACAATATAGAGCACCAAAAGTAAAAAGTTTAAAAATAATGCAACAAATTGACCTCAATTTGTTTGACAATCAAGTCAAGAAAAGTCATTCCATTGCGAACTTCAATTACAGACCTGCATTTTACCAAGACAATAAATTTGAACTTAAGGAAAAAAAAAAAAAAAAACTCCTTCCATTTCAAAAAGGATCAAATAAAAAGGTGATCTTGTGGTCTTAGCATCTCCTTTCAAAATAAAGAAAAGGAATAATCTAAGGACATAATGTGCAATTTCCACATTAAAATTCAGTTGCATTAATTGTGAAAGTGCAGAGTATCAAAAGATTGATTACTTGGGACCAGTACATCCCATTGTAGTTCCTAAGCCTCCATTTAGCTTTAACACGACAAGTTTATCCAAAAGATTCTTAGTTTCTGAGAGATCTGCATGCGTTAATTCATATAGTCAGAACATTGTCATGAAAAAGATGTATTCTATCAATGGTATGAAACTCATATAAGTTTCACAGGAAAAAACAAATACCTTAGATCGGAAGTTACTTACCTGGGTAAGTACATTTACCCATATTGTTTTATAATGCAATACCATTTTAGCCCTAAATATCTATTATTAAAAGGGGTATTTTTTTTGTCCCATTCAAGTGTTCAACTTTCTCAAGTACCCACCTAAGAGATGGGTATCATACCCCCTGATCCCCACGTAAATCTGAAAAAAAAAAAAAAACATAGATTTCTTGGTCAGTGGGAACCAAAATCCCATTGACCAATTTTCCCCCAGAAAGTAAAAATCAAAATTCATGAATAATTAGATCATTACCTTCATTAGGAATAGCTAAGGTTTCGTATGGAACTACCACTTCATCAGTGGGAGTATTGATCTTACTCCATTCAACGTGCTGTGCTTCACCACTTCAAATGCAGAATCCCATCCAAAATGAGAGAAGTAATAGAGAACAAAAATTTAAGAAATAAATCAATCCCAAAGTATGAAAGAAAGATTATTAATTAAGAAAATGACAATTCTATACTAAATAAATAAAAATTTAGAAAACTTTATCATCTTAAGCTCTACCTGAGATAACGAGACACAAGATTTATGAACCCAGATTTCTCATTTTCACTACAACCAAGGAAACGAAGTTAATATCAAGTGTATGTAAGATCTCCTAGTCTAACACATGTACAATTAATATCTAATAAAAATAAATGATCGGAATCTCAGAAGTAAGCTTCTTCAATAATCAGAAACAGACAGAAATGAGAAAACTTACAGATCTAATTTAGTTAAGAGAAAAGGAAGGAAGAAAGCACCTGATTTGATTGAGACCTGCAACATCAGAACGAAGCTTGGAAAGCTTTTCAGTGTCTGCAGGATTCAAAGAAGCAGTTGCCATTTAGAGATACAAAATTCTTGAGATGCAGAATAGGGTGGCGGAGTACATAAACTATGATGTGAGGTTTTGGGAATTCAATTTATATCATCAAGCGTAAGCGTTAATTAAGAAGCAGGATCGAGTTTGTGATGACTCAAAATTTGGTAATAAAAGAGAAAGAAACGGGCGTAGCCAATGCATGCATGGCAGCTGGCTGAATTTTGACACATCCTCAAGACCTCAACTGTCCAAGACAAAGTAGACAAACTATCCCGCCAAAAATGACGCCCTTGACTGATAAATGCCTCTTGTAATGCTTACCAAGTGCATCTTCAAAACTACCCATGTTCGGCTAGGTTTTAAAAAACGGACCGGATACGGAACCGTTTTTGCCACCATTTTTTAGGTCAAACGGTTCGATCATTTGGTTTTAACAGATGGTCCATTCTGATTTAAAAATTAATTAAAATAAAATTGGATAAGGAGCCGTATCATTATGGTTGTAGTAACCACTCAAAAAAGAGATATTATCTAAAACTAACCTCGAGAGAACGCCATAAGTTTTATTGTCCAAAACTCAACTTTCATTAAGATTTTGATTAGTGACAATTAATAAAAGTTATGTATATAAACATTTAAATGTTTTACATAACCAAATTACCCTTGAAAAGAGTGATGATTCACTTGACAAGTTCTCTCGAAAGCAAAAATCCTACAAACATCCTGCATGCATAGGCATCCAACTGTATGTAGGAAACATCTTCACATGAATTCAAGATACATGTACATGAAATATTCTTTATGTGCCACTGGACTCCATGCTTTCAGAGTTTTTGTTTCAGGAGATTTGGACTCCTTTTGCACTTGTTTGGGCTGAACTTATAGTGCACTTGCATTCAGTCCACCAGCCCAATTTCAAACAAGTATAATAGAAACTGACTCTGTCCAAAGTTCAAACGCACCAGTTCCTGAGTGCGCCTGGTTTGGTGAAACGTAGTACCCTTAGCCTTATTTTGGAAGGAGTATAAATTTAAATATGTAAAATGCAAAATCTTATTGTATTTATAATCTTTTTAAGTTGAACCTTACTCATACAAATATAAATATTTACAAAATAATATAAAATACAAGCATTTGCACTCTGCATTTTTTGTATTTAAACTCCTTCCAAACTGAGCCTTAATTTCAAATCCAGCCCATTAAAAATACAAATTTTGCAAGCGCAGGTACATCCGTTGGACTGGGTCTCAAAGGCTTCATCCCCATTTGGTCACTCGTTACGTCACTTCTCACTCCTCAGTCCTCACATTAAAAATGGTTGTTCGGAAAAACTAATCACTCTGCTTCTTTGTGTTTGCTGCTCTCTCTCTCTCTCTCTCTCTCCCTCGGTAGTCTCTTCCCCCACTCTCTCTCTCTCTCTCTCTCTCTCTCTCTCTCACACAAACCCCTTAACACAAAGAAAGAACAGAACCCGAGACGCACGAGAAGAGAAGGAAATGTCAATTAACCTCATTCACACCATACTACTTCTATACACGGTAGTCCTAACATGGAGAGCAGCTGGTGCTGTATATGCTTCTGCTTCTCCCCCCTCCTATTCCTCAGCAACCCCAATGACCGAGTGGAGATCCGCCAGAGCCACCTACTACGCCGCATCCGACCCTAGGGACGACGCCGGAGGGGCCTGTGGCTACGGTGACCTAGCGAAGAATGGCTACGGAATGGCCACCGTCGGGCTGAGCACTGCCCTCTTCGACCGGGGCCAGATCTGCGGTGCTTGTTTCGAGCTGAGGTGCGTCGAGGACCTGAGATGGTGCATTCCAGGGACTTCCATTATCGTCACCGTCACCAATTTCTGCGCGCCGAACTATGGCTTGCCGTCCGACGGTGGCGGCCACTGCAATCCTCCCAACAAACACTTCGTCCTACCCATCGAGGCCTTCGAAAAGATCGCCGTCTGGAAAGCTGCTAGCATGCCTGTACAGTATCGCAGGTACGCTGCACCTCTCCCCCCTCTCCATTGCTGTTTGCTAACTTGCGCTTAACGAATAACGAGCCTGGTCTTTTGCTAATATACGCTCAAGGAGTGCGTAGATTCGCTATATTGCGCACATCTTTCCTTAGTGTTGGGTTCAATTATATAAAAACTATATGATATTGGACTCCCTAATCATTTAGCAACTATGATAGCCCTATGATTTCACATATTTACTAAAAACTACTCTATGGTTTTTATATATTATTAAAACACTCATTGCAATTTATGGTCCCTTGATATTAGAAAATGTAAAAAAGGGTATGGATTCAGGGTTTTTTTATTTCAAAAATATCTCTAATAATACTCATTTATCCTTCTAGAAATAGAGTTGTTGGGTAAAAATTGAATTTTCTTCATTTTCTTTATTAAGAACAATTTCAATTTGGTCAATTGAATGTTAAGGTAAAAAAATGTCATTTCCTTTCTATTTAAGAAAAAGAAGCAATAAATAAAACTGTTGCAATGCATAAGGCATAAGGGGGTGTTTTTTATGATAAATAAACTCTGTAGTAGGTTTCTAGCAAATAAGTGAAACTATGAGGGGTGTCGGAGTAAATATCCCTTTTTAAGTTTTAATCTTCACGAGATTACTAAAATGCGCCTAAATGATTGATTTAATAATAAGATTCTTCGGGTTTCAAAAGTTTTGGCGTTGCATTGCATTGCATTGCCACTGGGTCCAGTCCAAAGTCCTGACCCCTGAGATCGAGACCCAACAACCGGGACAACCTCAAATCTGATGAGGCCTTGATTTGTATGTCCTTTGTTTTATCTAAAAAACTTTTCTTGTTTGGCGACAAAGTTAACTCTATACCTAGCTGGTGTAACAGTGTCCGGCTCCGGCCAACTCCAATTCCTCATGTGACGACAACATACATAATTGTACTCCATCGCCGGTTTTGTGGCGTCTATAGCTGCTTTTGACAAGACAGACATACCCCTGATAATAGCCTAATTTAATAAGATGTATTAAACTTTTGATGGTGCTATTCTCACTCAGCTCGCAGTGAGAATAGCACCATCTAATTCAATTTTGATACGTTTTGTCATTATATGATAATATAATGATCAAGATTAGTGCAAATGATTTGTCTTTTATAGACTTTTCTATGGAATTAGTGCATGATGGGCAAAATGGATGGTGACAGGTGAAAATCACTTAAGCTGAGAAGAGAATTTCAAAACAGTCGTAACAAGGGCAACATCGTATGAAGTAGAACGTAGGGTAGTTAAGAAACAATATATGGAAAGAAAATGAATGTAACAAAATACAAATTTTGAGATGAGTGGGTGAAAAGCAAGAAAAAGACAGGTAAAACTCATTCAAAGGAACGTAAGAATATCTCCCATGGGCAATGAGGGAAAATAAACAAAACTGATTTGGTCATGTGAAAGAAAACCATATTGGTTGAGATAATAAAAGGGACTATAAGAAGTAGGGACAAGCCGAGAATTATATGGGTTGAGGTAGTAAGAAATGATTTAAGAATTAAGAACCCATATTTTAACATTGGATATGACATTTAATAGAACAAAATGGTAAAATAGGATTCATGTAGATGATGTCATATAGTCGGGACAAGACTTAAATGATGATTATGCATTTTTATCATTATCCCTTTAGACTGTGTCTGGTTTGAAAGAAAAGGTAGGGAAAGGAAGGGTGTCAAACCAAACACAGCCTTAATTAATTGGAAAAGAAGTGATGTTAGATGGGCAAATGGTGCTTGGGTCCATAGGAAGATGTTGCTGACTTTTTGTTACATGTAACTCAAGTTTTGCTTTCCAACTTGGTAGGTCCTATTGTTTATTCTCTCTTTTCCGTTATGGGACATGCTTATTCGATTGAATTCTTCCTTATCAATATTAACATTAATAAATAAAAAATGGAAAATTACAAGGAACCCTTAAATTTTGGGGCCAAGGGTGATCATGACCCAACCGTGGGCTTAGCACCTTTAATAAAGCACATAACCAGCTCACACCCAAGGCCAGTAAGGCAGTAATATAAGCTTGGGCAAGGCCCTACATTAGGCCTGAGTTAGGTTGGAATTGCAGACTTTAACTTTTGATATATTTTATTAATTGTATAATATTATAAATTAACATATTGTACGTATAATGTTAAATTTGTTTTGGCATTGGTGTAGGTCATAAAAATTAAATTTGATTATATAATGTTAAACTTATATCTTTGTCCTTTATTTACACATGTATGTAGCCTCTCATATATTCATGTAATGTTTAACCCCCTAACAAATTGTCAATGATGAATGAGAAATTACCCAATTGCGCCTATATATTAATTTTGCACTTCAAAGCAAAAAAAAATATATATATATGAGACTAAGTGATGTTTGATGTTAGTTAATGGCAAAGAAAATAATCAAATATTTTACCTTATGAAAACTCTAGCACATTACTTACATGGCTCAAATTCATTGATCTATTTATAGATGTCACTTTGATGTTGGTTTACTTTAGCGCATCGCTTAGATGGATAAGAATGATCTATTGCTTAAAGAGAGTGAGAAACCACTTTGCTAGATTGGATTTTTGGGATGATTTGTTACATTATTTGGATGGTTTAGAACTTTAGATTGGTTGAAATTTTGGTATCACTTGGATGGTTGAAATGAATCCATTATATTGGGAAACCACTCTAATGGCTCAAATCTATTAATATTGAACATCCAATTAAAGCACAAAATAAAAAAGAAAAATCTGCCAAATAAAGTGAAATACAAAATATGTGAAAGACCTAGACCATTAAAACGGCCTCCTAGGAAAAATCAATTAATATCAGCCAGCCAAATTTTGCATGGAGATGCTGGCTAATTTAGCTCTTTCAAATGAGGTACCAAATCAATAAGTCTAAAGCCATTACAATGGTTTTCTATGATCAATGGATTGAATCAAGTATTAGTGCATCATTTGGATGGTTGCAATTGACTTATCTTGGGATGCATAACCCAAATTTCTGGTGTTATTTGGTACATCGTTTTATTTGAATCTGGATCTTTTACCCACAAGACACTAGCTGTACATTGGGGACATCTTCCCATGAATGATAACTTGACCTGTTCACGGACTGGGCTTTGGGCCTAACTTTACACTGTCTTGGACTCAGGCCTATTAGAATTTTGACAAAAGCCAAGCTCAGGCCCAGTCATGAACAGGTAATGGTAACATGTAAACACAAAATATGTTCCCAATGTACAGCTGTAAAATATCCAGTGGGTAGGTGTGGATAAGATTGTTGTGGGTAGGAGATCCAAGCTCATTTTATTTGTTTTAGATTTGTTGTTTTTTTAAAGAAAGTTTGGTGCCTTTACTTGAATGCCCAAGATTATTTGAAATTTTGGTGTATTGTTTGGATGGTCAAGATTAATTCTTTTATCTTGAGAGACCATTTTGATAGCATAATTTTTTTCTTGGTACATTGGTCGGATTGTCCAGAATTTTGACACATCACTTGGATGGTTGAGACAAGTTCACTGATCTTAAGTGACCAGTTTGATGGCCTAGATCTTTGTGTTAATTGGATACACCATTTGATGGTTTCAAAACCCAGTGGTTTGAATCACTTTACACCTATGCAAGGAAAGTACTGATCAAATTTCCATAATTTGGGGGCTTAGCCGCTTAGGTATGTGGGAGGGACCCGTGACACTGGAATACCAACAGCATATCTATAGAGGAATAGATGCTGGAAGATGTATAACCATTTAACATGCAGATTTTCTTTTGTCCTTTTAATGGGATAAGTTTGTCATTCGTTCTCTGTACTTCAGAAAAATTATGTAATAGATTGAACGGCTCTCATGTTCTCGAGTGTTTCTGATTTTGTGGGATCAGGATGAAGTGCATAAAGGAAGGAGGAATTCGGTTCAGGATCGACGGGTCGGGATTCTTCTGTTCAGTGCTGATCAGTAACGTTGCGGGTGCTGGTGACGTAGTGGCCGTGAAGATCAAGGGGTCAAGAACAGGGTGGCTTCCAATGGGAAGGAACTGGGGGCAGAACTGGCATGTCACAGCTGATTTGAAAAACCAGCCCCTCTCGTTTGAAGTCACAACTAGTGATCGGGTCACAGTTGTATCTTACAATGTTGCACCCAAAGATTGGAGCTTTGGGCAGACCTTTGTAGGCAAGCAATTTGAGTAAAAGAACCAAATTGATGCTAAACAAAAGCAGAAGATGGCAGTTATTATATGTATATTTTAGTTATCCTTTTTTTTATTTTTTCTTTTATTTCCTCCACCTCGAGCATAAATATTGGGGGGGCAAAAAGGATGTAATTGATTATTTGGTCTTTTTTTAAGGCACTTAGGCAAGTTCATTCATCATAAATTCTCAGTCAACATCAGCCTTCAAAGCAGAAACTGAGGAAATTAGGAAGAGAACCAGGTCTTGAGAGTGTTACAAGAGAGCCAACCTAGCCGGAGAGTGAGCAACCCGATTACACTGATGGGAAAATATGTAACCGAGTAACTGTGTATCACCAAGGTGTGAGAGAAGGCTCTTGCAGCAAAAAATGAGAGTTTGAACTATCAACCAACAATAGATTGATTAGGTATTAAGCATCATCTTCAATAATGGCTGAAGAAATTTCAAGAGAGGAAGCAAAGAGGATTCCTTCAACAAGAGCAGTTGCTTCTGTTACCAAGACTATACTGGCTTCAATTGGAATGGTTCATGCATAAACAAAGGAGCCTTGTGCATTTTGGATTAGCAGTCCTCCAAATTTTCCAGATGATGCAAGGGTAAAGTATTGAATGACTGAATGTCAACAAAAGCATGCATCAAAATAATAATAAATAACTAAACTAAATGATACTTGGAGAGACCATCGCCATGAATGTTTATTTCTTCCTCTCTTGCTTTCGATTTCAAGCCAAGTAGAACTTTCCCAAAAGATTAGTTGATATCTATTGAGCCTATTGCCATGAATGCTTCCTTTTTTGTCTTCGTAAATTGCTATTTTTCCTTATGGACTCTTGAATATGAGCTAATAGTTTACAGTATTTTGCAAAGGTTTCTTGTATTTTTCTCAATGGAGCTTTTTACTTAGTCTAGTACTAGATTAGAGAGGCTAGAGTTAATTCTCCTTTTGTCACTATCTCCTTTCTTCCCAAAAAGAATTTGGTGGTAAGAGTAGAACGAATGGGGGGGGGGTCCTTTTTTTTAGAAGATAGATAAAAAGGAGGGACCCTATCCACCTATTTTGTATGCAAGGTTCAAAATATCAATATAGGTAATCGGTACTGTTTTTTTCTTTTTTGAAACTGGTTTAGAGGGGCTGATTTAAAGCCGGTCTACCCCCTAAACCACTCACCGACTCGAAACACCCCCTGTAGGGGCATATCGGAAAGGCTCTGATACGATACGTATCGGCCAATATGGGTCAATACTTGTCAAAATTTTGATCCTTATTTGTAGGTAATTCTCCCCATTAAGGAACTCCCTCTATAACAACCTATTAGAATCAATCACATCCCTTATTTGTTCAACCACTCCTCACTTATCCTCCTAAATTCAATTTTAAATTTAAAATTGGATAATGATAAGTGGGGTGAGAGATTTTAGGGCCTTATAGTTTCGACTGAACCAAAATGAGAATTTTAGTAAGGAACCCCTATGACCACAACGATGAGCCATGAATTCATAAGTCCCACACTCTAACATAAAGGGCTTTGGTGATAAAGATGGACTTGAAGCTGTTTGGTTTGTTGTCGGAGTCTGAATTGGAATGGTCCATTCTCCCACCTGTTTGGTTTAGACAAGAATTTAAATCAGAATCAAAATCAAATGAGATGATTCTAATTCCGATTATAGATCTCTATTCCCATGAACCAGTTATCTGTCTTGGAATAAGGTAAGATGCAAGATTATGCGATCTCCATTTTATATGAGAAAGAACTGAGATAGGTAGAAGACCGTGCAAATTCTGCATCACTTTTTCCGATGCTAAGCCTGTATTGCCGGTGAATGCAAGAGAGACAAACAGTACAAATCATAATTACAAACAAACAAAAATGAAACTGAACCCAATACAAATTTCGTAAGCCATCAATATTTGCATTGCAACCAAACACAACCTAATGTTTTATTGGTTCCTTACTTCCATTATTGCTGTTATCGATCTTGATTGGTTCCTTCAATTGCTGTTATCGATCTTGATTGGTTCCTTCGATTGCTGTTATCGATCTTGATTTTTTGAGGAGATAATTTTGAAGTTGGAATCTTGTAATGTTAGTATAGAGGTTATACTAGAAATGAGAAGGAATGTTATGACAGAAAAGAAAAAGAGATGAATGCCTCTTGTTTTTTTTTTTCTTCCTTTACAGCGTTTTTCTGGATATTCTTACTACTTATTAGGCTCTTGGGCAATTAGAGGCTCTGTTTGTTTGCAGTGCATATCTGAATCAGAAATAAATTTTACACCCAGTTCAGATTTCATGTATTTGTTTGTAATGATGATTTGCACTTCTACTCCATTTGTCAAATTTTTACTCATTGGTGGCGCAAATTATACATCCCAAAAAATGATTAAAAATTACACCACCTTCCTCTTACCTTACTCTTACCTTAACTCTATCTCTCTCTCTAAAGTAGATTACCACATCATTTTACAAACAAAAAAAACCTCCTAACTTCATTCTCAAATAAAGCAGGAACAATACCATTCCCATTTTACTCCTAAGTAAACATAACAGAGTCAAAATTGGAACAAAAATAAACCAGAATTTACATTCAACCTATTAGCACTTCCAAACATTTACACTAATACAAAATTCCTTTGTATTACAAACAAATTAAGCAGATGGCTCCTTGTAACTGGCCCAGGAAGAATGCAAATTAGGCTGCTTCCTTTAAAAACAAGAATCAGGTTCGCTCCTGTAAATGATTCATGTGGAGATTTTGTTCACTTTGTTGTAAGGAGTTTCACGAATATATAGATTCCATCGCCTTCTTTGTAAGGGGTTGTTTGCGTTGTTCTTATGTGGAGTTACATTGGGAGAGTGATATGGGAGGAAGAGGATGTTTTGAACAGTTTGAACAACTTGGGCATATATAGAGGAGGGTTGATGTGGAGAAATACATTAAATGGGATTTTCAAGTTTCTCTTTGAATAAGAAGTAGATATTCAAACTATCATGAGTAGAGATCCATCAGCGGTGGCAAAATAGATTAAAGGGCTAAAAAAAACAGAAAAACTGGAGAATTGGATTTACAATATAATCACTACCAAAAAGTCATCCTTTCGCGACGTTTAAATAAAACGTTGCGGAAGTTCTCCTTTTCGTGATATTAATAACATTTGTGGCAAAAAAAAAAAGGAGTTTTGCAACGGTTACAAAAAATAACTGTTGCTAATGTCACCAAATGTTTACTCAAACCACTTTCTCCAAAATTGCTTTATTGTATATATGATTATTATTTAACTTTAAAACTTTTGTCAATTAGTTATGAAATGAATTAAGTTATAGTTAATTTGAAAATAATTATAAAAAATACTTATATAAATGAATATTTTAAATGCTTAAATATTTAAATTGTTTTTATTAAATGAAAAGTTTAATTATATACTTCAATGAAGATTCGAACTCGTGGGTTTCCACTTGAATATGCAATTAAGAGAATTGGTGAGAAGATCGCCCATTGAGTGGGAACTGGGAAGTGGTGTTAATGATCCATTTTTGGAGGATAAGAAAGTTTGGACGAGCCTATAAAAATTTATGGTCAAGTAGTTTAATTCTTTAAATTAGTTTTGTTGGAAAAAACTTGTTAGGTTAAAGAGATTCTTATATACTAGTAAGCATGCACATGGCAATGCTCTTGCACGTGCTTTTTCTACAATAAGTCATTATGAATTTTAGGACTATTATAATTTTCATAGCTTATTTTTCAGGAATTTCATTCCACGGTTTACTGAGAAATGAAAACATTTATATGAAAGTTTATCACATTTATGTACATTCATATCCATTTTTATACTTACCAATTCAATACATGTATCAACAAACCTATGAGATATCCGATTTCAAAATTTAAGGGGCTGATTTGATGTGTGGAGACATGTGGCAGCAACCACAAATGTTTAACATTGTTTCACAATGAAGTAAATGTGTACTATACATGATAGTGCTAATTAAGTCATTTTCAACAAAGATGGGTATATAAACTCGGCCATCCTATACAAATATTTTAGGGTTATTGATCTAATAGACAATTGATACTAAGCAAGTCAAAGGTAATTGCGTCTAAACAATACAAAAGTATGATGCTAATCCTCTGCACTATACTGGGCTGAGGAAGCACAAAGTTGAAAACCAATTTTGGGTTTATATAATTTTTTTCGAAATTTGGATCACCTAAATAGTATTTTCTTAGGCTCTGTTTGGTTTGTGGGAAGATTTGGGTGGGATGGGAAAAGATGGGATGGGAAAGTGTAAAAAATTAAGTGTAAAAACATTGTTTGGTTTTATTGGGATGGGATGGGATGGGAAAATGTAAAAAGGGTCACCTTTGTCCTCCTCTCGACCGAACAGAGTGACGACTAGGAAGAGAAGCGGTGGATTTGAACCCATCTCCGGCTTCCCTCTCCCGCTCTATCTCCCTAATTTTCTTCTCTCTTCTCCTTCTTCTTCCCCTCTTCCCCCATTTTCTCTCTCACTCCGTTGTCTTGCAGCGGCGGTAGATCTGTGTGTCCCCTCTCTAATCTCTCTTTCTTCTTCTTCTTCTTCTTCTTCTTCTTCTTCTTCTTCTTCTTCTTCTTCGTTTGTCGTCTCCACTACTCTGGTTCGCTTTGCCTGCACGTCACCGCTGCTTGGTTCGCCCTAGTGTCACGGGGCTATTCGACGAGGCCCCGTGCGGTGCTCGATGGGGTCGAAAAAGCCTATGAATGCAAGCAACAACACACAAAAGGCAACAAGAAGGCACACAAATTAGTCAAAAGGCTACTTGTATTGCATTGATTGATGGTAAGCACAAGCACACAGTTCAGTGTCGAGGGGATCTCGTGCTTAACCTTTACACGCTATTGTCTCACTCGACTACCTACCTCCCCTCAAAGAGTACGTTAAGCTTTTGGGGGAGTAACAATAAGAAACATCAAAAAGGTAAAAAATCATACTACAGAATTACAATAACGCCATTGGCAATCCCCCCATACAAAATACATGCAATGTCCCACCCAAGACACACACTTGGACACTTGGATGGCATGTTGTGGGCGTGGTGATAGTACTTGATGGCGCGGAAAAATGGTCACTTGTGACACTAGTTCGTCGTAGATCTAGTGAAGACGGGAAGAAGGTGAGAGAGAAGAGAGAAGAGGGTCGCTTCGCCTGTGCGTGAC